TCGGCTGAAAATTTGATAGTGGTCTTTAAAAATCAATTGAAGCGAAATAGTCGCTCCTACAAGTATATACGTCCGATATACATATGCTACAAGTCAACCCAATTGAAAGTCAACATCTTCAATACATCAATTATAACAGAGTTTCTCTGATATGAATACATATATGCACTGTTATAGCAATAACAGATCGCAGACTTTTTAGTTACTCCATCAACGGACCCTCCTCTGATTTTTACCACATTCTCATACATCCGACTTTAGTACCAAAACAGGAAACAAGCTCTCAACTATGTACAAGCGCACACACAAGACAGCTGCATTGGTGAGATGATTTAGCGTTTTCTGCTGCCCTTCGTCCGACTAATGTCTTGTTTTTATTGTATTGGTCTACAGCTGGACCCCGTTAATTAAAAGGTAATAGTTCTTATTAAAAGTATTTAAAACACCTTCAGGTAATTTTAACACCGATATTTATTAGCGTTTCGTTTGTAAGCATCCTGACCCACAACTTGACAGCACAATCAATGCGAGACCGATACGAAGTGGCTGGCTAAGAACCTACCTACCTAGAAGAAGTTTTGCTCTTAGTTGCTGTTTTCACTACCTTAAATTAAATGACAATATGACTTCTAAATGTCGTTTCGTCCATTTTTAATATGTCACGATCTGAAATTTTTTTCATTGTATTCGGTAATGTTTACAATTTTGTTTAAATGTTGTTATCAATGTTTAAATTTGATTACCAAAATAATCGTTTTCCAATTGCAACTTTTTGTGTGTTTTTCGAGGCTCACTTTCATTTGAGTGGTGCAGTAAATAAAAAAAACTGTCGATTCTAGTGAGTAGAAAATCTACAAATTGTTCATGAACAACGATTACATTCATCTAAATTGATAGTTTGGTGTGGTGGAATCATCGGTCCGTACTTCAATGGAGAGCAGTATACCGGTATGAAATGAGTTTTTTTGTGAAAATGATATACTAATTTTGAATGGGAAAGCAATAAAAAAAAATATTTTCAAAGTATTTACCATTGCTTTTTATACATTTTGACCACCTTTCTGCCAATTTGTGGATACCATGTCAAAAAACATGTTCGTCTTTTGAAGCAAACCAATCAGACACCCAATTTTCGACTTCTGCATAGAAATCGAACTGCTGCTCAGCCAAAGCGTGTCCGATCGATGAAAACAATTTGTAATCGGAAGGTGCCAAGTCTGGTGAATACGGCGGGTGGGGTAGCACCTCCCAGTCAAGTACTTTGATTGTATCCTGAAGCGATTTTGCTTTGTGTACAGGTGCATTGTCGTGTAACAAAATTACTTTGCCGTGTCAACTGGCCCACTTTTTTCGTTTTTCGATCAATGCATTGTGATTTAAATTGATCATTTGTTATCTGTGGCGATTAGTATTAATAGTTTTACCAGGTTTTAGAAATTCATGATATACCACACCCTACTGATCCCACCAAACACAGAGCATTGCCTTCTTACCGAATCAAGAGTGTGATCACCGTAGAAAACCAAAAATCACTATTAATTTCTTAGCCTTAGCCTTAAAATTTTATTATTACGGAATTCAATGCAAGACGATGGATTAATCATCAATAGTAGTATTTCCAAAGCTTAGAGTACTTTGTAGACTAGATGATTATTATATAATGTTATATTATACTAGATTGACACATTATGAACATGTATAGGCAATAAAGAAGAAAAATATTACTTTTCTAAGTAGATCCTTATCTTTTTATTATTAAAAAGAACGTGTTTTATTATAGTATTATTTATGAGTAACGAAATAATTTATTTTATACAAAAAGTAAGCTTTTTGTTTGGAACAAAATCTTATAGGAGGTGGTTCGCCTAGTAATTAGAAATGAAGGTCTTTACAATGTTGCTCCATTGTTGCTATGAAGAATTTTGTGTATTGTCTGCTATCCAATCCATGAAATTCACTACACGCATGTAAAAACCGTTAGTTTGGATATCACCACATTCACCGCCTGCACCGAATGAGACCAAGCCAATCAAATAATACGCTGTCCTGTTATTGTGTGATTCCCTAAGCATGAGAGGTCCGCCTGAGTCGCCGTTACAGCTATCGGTACCCTTCCCTCCTTTGGCGCATATTTGATTTTCTGTCCTTCCTTTTTGTTTGCCACATTTTTTGATATCTTGAACATTCAAATATGCATACAATTTAATTTCACTATGCTCCCTCGTTTCTGTTTTGCCCCAACCAACGACCTCTACAGACTTATTTTCGTAATTAATTGTTTGTTGACCTGCCGGCGACAAGGGTAGACATATCGGGTTTATAAAGTCCGTGTAAGTTACACTCTCTTCCAGCTTCAATAGAGCTATATCGTAGTTAAGTCGGTTTTTATTATACTTCGGATGAACTATATGTTCTAAAATGTCTATATCCAAGTGTCGAGGTGCACAAGTTGGGTACTCTTTGCTATAATATTCACAATCCTTTTCCGTTGTGGTATTCCATTCGCCTAAACGAACTCCTTTGATATACCAATCTTTTTTATCTTCAGACATAAACACACAATGAGCTGCAGTCAGTACGTAATTTTGATTAATAAGAGAACCACCACAAAAAAAGTCCATGTTGTTGTCAGCTTTAAGGAAATAATGTTAAAATTTTATTACTATTCTCATAAGAATCTTAGTATATATTACCGTCGATGTAAATTATCCTCGCTACCCACGTGTACTCATCAATATGAGCAGCACTGCCACCATAAATTCGGTTCTCTAAGAGTGTTTTGCCACATCCTGGTTCATTTGTCTGAAATTATTCAAATTCGTATCTGTTCATGCCTGTATAGTATAATCATTCGACCAGATCTCAAGTATATAAGACATATATACGAGAGTGCGATCGCGCCTAAAACGAAGCGCCATTGGCAGCCCTCTCCAGCACTAACAAGTGTTAACGTTTGCTCATTCTATCCATTTGATTCATAAAGATCAGAGAAGAAGAAATGGGTAAGCTGAGAAGTTTGGATCTAATAAAAATCCATTTCAGAAAAAAATTTTTTCTTAACAATATCTAAACTCGGTAATATTCTGAATAGAAAGTAGGTAAGGTGAGGACTCTTTAGCTTGTCCCACGTTAAATATAAGATGTTTCGACAATATACCGAAGTTTTTATATTAAGACGCGATAAAAAGCAATATTCATTCATACACCAGTAAACTTATCGATTTAAAAAAGTTTTTGAGAGCTTTACGATGAGCGGACAAACTTTCACTGTAACTCAATTTGCGAACTCTATGTAGCAGACCAATACATCGCCTAAATTAGGTTGACATTTTTCGAGTTTTTAAGTTCATTTAAGAATAATATGTATGTATGTCTGTATCTGTGTACTTACCCACTTATTGGAATCTCCTTTTGGTGGTACTATGTTGGGACCTGTAAATAGATTTCACAATTATATTTACAATTATAGTATATATATACAAAAATATTATTATAAATTAATATACGAGCTATTATTGCTGCTAAAGGTTGTTTGTAATACCTAAAACCAAAGGAGATAGATGCAGGGTTATCCTATATGCGGAGGTTTGATATCTTATATAATATTTTTTTACCAAAATATACTTTGATTAGGAAAACTGGTTTTCCTCGAACCAAGAGACATTGTACTAAAGGGGTTCATCTAACTCTTTTATAAACCTATAATATTGACTGATATATCCATTATAAAGTCAGACCGGGGAATGTCGTATTAGTCGATGGAATTTATTTCACATAATGGTATGGTTATGATGAATAAGTCTATATAGATGCGACACTTTATGACATCGATGCCAACATATTTTACGAAAGGAAAGAAAATTAAAATCCATCAGCAATAAACATTTTGAGAGAGAGCGTCTAACGCATAACAAGATTGATCCAAATGTACAACGGGCCGAATATCTTGGTGGTTTTGAGATCATCATCATTTTACATGTTGTCAAAATTTTATATACAAGTATATATACATATAAATGTAAGTAGAGTGTGTGCGATCGTCTAAGGCGAACAGCTGATAATGAATTTTCTCAGCTCTACACGTTCTACCCTGGTATTAAACCTATCACACGGGTATACGTCTTACTTACCGGCTGTTGAGGTTGTCGGGCTCATCGTTATATGTGTTGGTGCTGTTGTTGTCGTTGTTTGTATTGCTTTTGTATCAGGTGCTGTTTGTGTCGTCGACTTAGTTTCAGGGCAACACACCTATGAAAAAAAAACTCATTAAGGCTCAATTATAAATAAATGGATTGCATGGTTCTCTAAC